GCATGTGTGGGGTTTATTTGGGTTTTTTGGCAACATCTGTACTAGCAGTTTTATGTGGTGAGTGGGTGAAGTATTATCCCTATTCCTAATCACTTTCTCTTTGCCAGAAACCAGGTATAACCAGCAAAGGACAAATGGAATAACAAGACACCCCTCCTTGTCACCATTTTCTACTCGTCTTATTTTGCATTGTCTGCCTTCATCCTTGATGCCTATTCTGATTGTTGTCTGTCTGCTGTGATCTAAAACCTGTCTGTGGACTGAAACATGAGCCCTCAAAGAGAACCTGCTGTTAACATAATTCAAGATGAAGCCAAGGAAAATACCCAGACTGGAGGCCCAGATTCAAGTTGGTGGATGTGAATTTTTTTCTGTATAAGAACTGCATATGTAAGTCTTGTGGAAACACTGACTTCCAGTCTTACTGTGGTGTTTTTTAAACATGGTCACCTACACTTAATCCTTGCAGCACTTACTGTAATGGTTGTAGTAAGGAGTTGAGCACCCACTTTGAGGAAGAAACAACGTATTTTCCTCCACATAGGGAAAGGGAATTGTGGATTTAGAATCTTGCAAATTCTGCAGCAGAGTCACTTCAAACAGGCTTTTTTCACACATCTGGATTCCACTGATGGCGGTCTCACTACAAAATGGCAGCCATTTAAAGGTTTTCTTAAACCGCCACTCTTCAATTGTTCTTGTATTTATGGTGACTGTGCAACTGGTGATAACTTATGGCTTTCCTTCTGATTTCTAAATAGTGGAAAACAAACCAAAGTAGACAAGAAAAATCCAGTGCTTGCTAATTCATATTGAAAATGGCAAAATACCCTCCATCTGACTGTAGTTAAGGGACTAATTACAAAGTTGCAGAATCTGGAAAAGCAGTGGCTGTAGAGAACAAACTCAAACACTGCTTCTAACTGACATTGTCTAAGCTAATGTTCGGGAATCTGACCTTGGACCTAAAGCTGAAACACCTCATCCAAACTTCAACTTGTGTCTAATGTCCTGTGTTTTAAAAATCCTCTAAGGGTTTTTCAGAATCCAAATAGGGTGCTGGATTTTTCTTGTCTGAAGCAAGAAAGCTTGGCAGATGGCTAAAGAAAATGGAATAAGCAGATGGGTTTATTGAATCAGCTAAACTTCAGTCACAGACATGGTGTAGGTTGGTTCCAGTATGTGTTGGAAGGGCAAATGGCAATCTTGTATTGATCTTGACTTCACTTGATGCCTTAGTATTTTGTGAATTTTGATGCATCTCATTCAATGTTTGAGGTAGCTCTCCACCTCTCAAATGAGAGAGTGCCTTCTTTTGAGCCTCTGTACTAACTGACTTGTATCTAAATCAGTCACTTATAAACTAAACTGTTAGGTTACTTTGCTTTTTGGACAAAGGTCTAATCAGCTCTTACCATTCTGTTGGTGGTTAGTTTCTTACTCAACCATTTATAAGTGTAAACTTGAAATACTATCATGTCTTTAATGTTGAATTGGATACCTAAACAGAGACTTACTTCTGGAAATTCAATTTGAAGGCAACTTGTTCTGTATATAACCTTTTTTCTCTTGTGCACTTTCCTACAATGCAATTAAAAGTTATGAATTTATAAGTACTTGTCTCAAACTGGAAATGTAGAAACTTATGGATGTTACTATTATATAAACTGTAGTTGCACAACTAGTAAAGTTTTCTAATGACATTAAAAAATGCAGCTCTTTATATCAAATGAGTAAGGGTTGTCTTTCCTGAAGGAGCAGTACAACAATGCATACAGACATGCCACACAGCATATTTGTTTCTTCTGGAGCAAGAACTGAACATCCTATGAGTTGATCACTATTTAGAACTTCCAATTTTATGGCTGTTTCTGGCCAAACAGACTTCCTCAAAGGAATCGTAGCATTCACTATGCTTTCTAGTTAGAATACTTTGCTTAGTGGCGTTTCAGAGAAGTTTAACTTGAGAGCCATTTTCTTCTATTTTATATACTTCAGAATTTCAAGTAGCCATTCTTTTTAGGACCACTTTCTCCTCCATAGCTAGAGCACTTCAGTAAGAGCCACATGGTATTGGAGAGAATAAGCATTGACACATCAGCCCTGTAACACAGCAATTGCTTGAATTTTTTTTTTGAATGATCCCTGCCGCTACCTTTAACCTACAGATGCTTCAGGCATAGCAGTGATGCTTCCCTGGCACTTCAGCCTTTGTAGGAAAAGTTAGGATAGCCTTCTTAACAGGATGGTTCAACTCCCTAGAAGATGGAATGGTATTTCAAGCAACCTTTTATTTTCATCCATGGTGGAATGAGCTGATGGAGGGTAAGTAATAGAGGGACATTGGTTATGTCTTTTCTATCTGCTCTTAGACTGGGGCTAAACTCTACCTTCTCTGACAAGTGACAAACACAGTTAAATACTTGGGTGTGAAACCACTCTAAATAGTGAACACTCCTCTCCTGTGTCTAACAGGAAAAATGCTGGTTTATGGCAATAGCCTGAATATAAGCTATTGGACTGCTAGTATTAAAGTAACAAATATACAGCTGGTCAACAGTCAAAGTTCTGTTAGACAAATGCTGAAAGTGAATGTTGGTAAATATTTAAACTGACTATGGGACTTGGCTTGCTAAAGAGTCAATGTCCATGTTTTCTGCTGGGAATAACTTGCCTCCTGAAACAGTACATCCTGCACTACAGTATACTGATTAAAAACAAAGATGAAATCCAGTTAAACACTCCTAGTTTTGTTTAAACAGTGCACCAGGAACAGTTGTTACTCAAGCCTTCCCTGTTTAGTCCTAGTACATAGCACTATCCACATTCTGTGGGTAATGGCTTGTGAGTTGAGGGACAGTCAGTGTGCTTTGAGCAGCATTTCAAAACAAATCTGGCAACTCCTCCTTTAAACCTATTGAGGTAAAAAATAGCCCTCCACCCATTACTGCACAGCATTAAAGGTTAGAGTGAGACTCTCTAGCCTAAAGGAATGGTCTGAGGCCAGGTCTATATTACAAACCTGTAGTGGTAGAACACCACTCAGGGGCATGAAAAATCCACACCTCTGAGCAACATAGTTCTAACAACCTAACCCCTCCACGTAGAGCAGTGGTCACCAGAAAAAAGTTTGAAAACCCAGTTGAAGTAATTGTTAATGTTCATTACCCAACAGGGGATGAGGGGCTCAGGGTGTGGGAGGGGGCTCTGGGCAAGAGCTTGAGGTACAGGAGGGGGTCAGGGCTCTGGGCTGGGGGTGAAGGCTCTGGGGTGGGGCTGGGATGAGGGGTTTAGGGTAAAGGAAAGGGCTCAGTTTGGGGGGAGGGGTCAGGATTGGGGCAGGTGAGTGGGGTGAGGGATGGGGCCTGGGCTTACCTCAGGCAGCTCCTGGTCAGCAGCACAGCAAGGCTGCTAAGGCAGGCTTCCTGCCTGTCCTGGCACCACAGGCTGTGCTGTGCTCCAGAAGTGGCAAGCAGCAGATCTAGCTCCTACACAGAAGCACATAAGCAGCTCTTGCCCACAGGCATCAGCCCCCAGCTCCCATTGGCATGGTGCCCCATGGCCCCCCATGTAGGAGCTGGACCTACTTCTGGCTGCTTCCAGGGCACAGTGCAGTGTCAGAACAGGTACGAACTAGCCTGCCTTAACCGCACAGCACTGCCAATGGGACTCTTAACAGCCCAGTCCATGGTGCAGACCAGAGCCACCACGACCAGGGTCTTACATTCCATGACCCAATACTGGGTCACAAGCCACAGTTTGAAAACCATTGACATAGAACACTATGTGGATGGGAGAGCTGCTCACGTCAACACAGCTACCACCTCTGAAGTGTGGATAAACTACACTGATGGGAGATGCTCTCCCTTTGGTCTAGGAGTATCTTAGCTTAAGTACTACAGTGGCACAGCTGCATTGGTACACCAATGTAGCACTCTGTGTAGACATGCCCTGTGTTTTTTTGTAGAGACTTTGCCAAGACTAGTGAGAGTTTGAAAGGGAAAACTCATTCAACCCATCTACTAGTCTCCAATGCCATTAAGAATGGAAACCTGTCTAATCTTAAAGTGGAATTAAGTTGACTTGGCTTTGACAGTCAAAGATGACAGACTCCGATAGAAGTGTAAAGGCAGAGGAAAAGCCTTTAGCCTATAAACAAAATAACCATACACACATGTCTAATAGAGCAAACTAACACTGGACAATAGCAAGTTTGCTACATCAAGTGCAAACTTATAGCTACTCTGCTGTATAATGACAGGTTTCAGAGTAACAGCCGTGTTAGTCTGTATCCGCAAAAAG